AGTAAGCACTATGTGCCAGGCATTCATTATTCTAGGTACTGGGCATACAGCAGGAACAAAACAAAATCCCCATACTCACAGAGTAGATAATAATCAAACAGTCAGGGCACAGTGGCTCAAGCCTATAATCCCAGCACTTTGGGAGGCCAAGGCAGGAGGATCATATGAGTCCAGGAGTTCAAGACCAGCCTGGGCAACATGAGGGACCCCATCTCTACAAAAAATTTAAAAATTAGTCAGGCATGGTGGCATGTGCCTGTAGTCACAGCTACTTGACAGCTGGGGTGGGAGGACTGCTTGAGCCCAGGAGGTCGAGGCTGCAGTGAGCTGTGTTTGTACTACTGCACTCCAGGCTGGTGGCAGAGGGAGACCCAGTGTCAAAAAATAAATAATTTTTTTAAAAATATAATAATCAAATAATTAATGTCAGATGCAAATCTGTGCTGTGAAGACACATAAGGCAGAGTTGGGGGAAGAGAAAGGGTCCCAGCAGCAGGGGGGTGCTATTTTAGATGGAGCATTCAGGGGTGACATCTGCAAGCGATTTGAAGAGAGCAGGGAGCGAGCCGTGTGGATGTCTGAAGGGAAGGGCTCTCAGGCAGAGGACCAGCGACAGCAGAGGCCTGGAAGCATGGCCAGCATGGCCAGGTAGAAGGATGGGCCCTTTGCCCTGGCCATGAGGGAGGCCCCCAGTGGGCAGTGCAGACTGCAGGTAGCCAGGGCAAGGCCTGGCTGTGGAGCACGATGTTCGAGGCAGGGTGGTAGCAAAGGAGGTGGCAGAGGTGGGTGGCTGAGGACTTTGGACGGGATTCACGCCTTTGGGAGTCCCTGAAGACACTTATTCTTTGAGACCCAGCACAAGCGTCATGCTCCTTTGAGCTCATCCCTGATTCTCTTGACAGCCAGTCTCCGCCTGCCCCGGGTTCCCACATCAGCATGTAGTCTATTTCATTATTGCTGCTTTGTATTGGATTTGAGCCATTCAAGCCCTTCACACATCTAACACATGCACAATCACACACATCTCAGAGCATGGACTCTCACTGCAGATCCCACGGATTTGATATTTCTAATATACAGGACTTAGCATGGAAAATGCTACTGAATACATGAGTTATTGAATCCATAAACTCACATCCCCCAACTGCACTGTGATTTCATAGTAAAAGAGCAGGACTCCGTCTGGAACTGCTGCTCTATTCAGCAGTACCTGGAACAGGCGATACTAACACCTCCCAAGCACCACTTAGATCAGGAGCGCTTCATGGGCATGAACCTGTGCAGTGGCACAGATCCCCGTGCTTAGAAAGACCCGAGTTTGCTATCATGCTCTGCTGTCGCCATCAGGAAACTCATAATCTTACCTTTGAACTTGTGTTTTACAGGTGAAATCCAACAGGACAATGAGCATGTCAGGAGCAGAGATGAGCACAGCATGTTCCTTGCAGCTCAATTTGCATATAGAGTGCTTGTGGTGCCCCGTTGCATAGAATTCCGGAGGCCCACAATGCATGGAGTCCAGCAAGACCCAGTGGGATAGATATAAGGTAAGCACATTCCATCTATGACTGAGAAAGTAGGGTGCTGACAGCCCAAGAGGTCCTACTTTCCTTTGGGACCAGAACTTGGTTCAAATACAGAAAGAATACCATGGTGTATTAGTCCATTTTCACGCTGCTGCTAAAGGCATACCCAAGACTGGGCAATTTACAAAAGACAGAGGTTTAATGGACTTACAGTTCCATATGGCTGGGGAGGCCTCACAATCATGGCAGAAAGCAAGAAGAAGCAAGTCACATCTTACATGGATTGCAGCAGGCAAAGAGAGAGCTTGTGCAGGGAAACTCCAGTTTTTAAAACCATCAGATCCAGATCTCATGAGACTTATTCACTGTCACTAGAACAGCACGGGAAAGACCACCCCCATGATTCAATTACCTCTCACCAGGTTCCTCCCAAAACACATGGGAATTGTGGGAATTACAATTCAAGATTGGGTGGGGACACAGCCAAACCATATCACATGGTGTTCTGAGAAACACAAGCAACCAAAGAAATGTATCAGACACTTTCTTCCCCATGCTACTCGTATTATCATACATGTGCTAGCCAATCACTTACTCTGAAAATGTTGGGCTAGAAGGAAGAAGAGAGGGCAGCCCATGGCTCCTTTTCCCTCAGTCCTTCGCTCCTGGTTATACTGAAGATAGAGAGTGTTGGTAGAACGGGCACGGAGCAGGAAGTGAAATGAAAACAATGAAGTTCGTTTTGGGCAGTATCCACGGTTCTTGTAAGAATGAAATGCATATGCATGTGTGAACTCCAAATATTGTTTACTTGTGTGGAATCATGTGATTCCAGTGGTTCTGCATCCCAGTAAATGTTCTTCTATTTGCATTTAAAACTATCATTTCATAATACAAAGATGAATGGTACATACACTCATAATGTTTTCAGTTATCGTGTTACGTTAACAATTAATGTTTTAACTTTACTCAGAATGACATTAAAGAGCAAACAAAAAACACCATGACAGGTCAAAAGAGAGTGTGTGGAAGAAAGGAGAAGCTTGGTATTCTAGTACCCTCCATGGTAGTTTCTTTCTGCCTTTGAATGAGAGGCCCCACAGTTTGATTTTGCACTGGGCCCTGCAAATTACACAGCTGCCCAGAGTCGGCTCGAAGCTGCAGTCGCCAATGCCTGGTGTAGGGCAATGATAAAGATGAGGATGGTGAGGGGTCTGGCTTCCATTCACAACATGAACACTTTGCATAAATGAAACAGCAGGCTCAGGACGCCAACCGCCGACTGAGACAAACTGAATACCAGAAGGTCATTAAAGGCGCTTTGAAAGAGGCTCTCACATCCTCTAGCCACGGGCAGTCTGCGCAGAAGGCTGGAAGAAGACAAGGGACAGCAATGGGCTGCCCAGGTCAGAGTCAGAGTCCACATGGGACAGTGGGACATGGGGTCCAGGATGGGGAGATTTGGATAGACAAGCCTGAGAAATGGGGACCCCACCCCCACCCAATCTCCCTGCATTTTCCAGATGGTAAAGCAGGGCTGAGGGCGGAAAAGCGATTCTGTTTTCTCCTTACTCGCGCCAGGAGAAAATGGAACAGCTGCCTCTCACCTGGAGAACAAGTAATAGCCTCTTCTGGAGCAGGGCCCAGCCTCACCCTCCTCCTCAAAGCTGTGCCTCCACTGCCCCATTCATCCCAGCCCAGCGGGGAAGCACAGTCTCCACCCCAGGAGTGTCCTGGGGCCACTGAAACAAAGCACCACACCCTGCGGGCTTAAAACAATGGAAATGTATTCCCTCGCACTTCCAGAGGCTGCAGGTGTGGTATCAAGGTGCCAGGAACGCCGTGCTCCCTCTGAAGGCTCCAAGGGAGAACCTGTTCCACATCCCTCTCCTCGCTTCTAGTGTCGCCGGCAGCCACCCTTCCTTGACCGCAGACACGTCCCTCCAAACTCACTCCACCATCACATGATGTCCTTCCGCGTCTGTGCCCTTCACATGGCATTCTCCTCTTACATGGATACCAGCCATACTGGATTAAGGGCCCATCCTACTCCAGTGTGACCTCATCTTAACTCACATCTTAATTATATCTGCAAAACCCCTATTTCCAACCTAGGTCACACTTACAGGTACTGAAAATGAGGACTTGAGCATATCTTTGGGAGGACACAACTGAAACCACAACCCTGAGCCAGCTACCCTCAGAGCAGCGTGGGGCTCTGGATCGTCAGGGACAGGATGGATATGAGCTGGAGAGGGTGCTGGTGTGGACGCCTTCCCCCAGGACTCTGGACTGTGCTCTAGGAAGGAGACCCGGAACAGGTCCTAATCAATAAATTTGCTACATGAGACCAGAGGACCTAAAGGACCAGAGGCTCCTCCCTGCAATAGGTGCCTCACCTTATTAAGGTGAGGGAGGCTCAGGTGTCTCAGGGTGATTTGTCTGTAGCTGGGGTTGACAATGGGAGCTGCTATCACAAAACTGAGCTCTCTGGTACCAACAGAAATGATGGGATTCCAAATTCAAGAGCTGTCTAGGATATGATGTATTGGTAGCCCATCTTGATAGGACCCAATGCTGTTCTTGGTTCATTTTTACACTTCTAGGACCTTTGTTAAAAATGAATCATTGGCCAGGCATGGTGGCTCACGCCTGTAATCCCAACACTTTGGGAGGCCAAGGCAAGCGGATCACAAGGTCAGGAGTTCAAGTGAAACACGTCTCTACTAAAAATACAAAAGTTAGCTGGATGTGGTGGCATGTGCCTGTAATCCCAGCTACTCAGGAGGCTGAGGCGGAATTGTTTGAACCTGGGAGATGGAAGTTGCAGTGAACTGAGACCACTCCACAGCACTCTAGCCTGGGTGACAAAGCAAGACTCCATCTCAGGACCAAAAAAAAAAAAAAAAAGAATCATTTGGCTGGGCACAGTGGCTCACTCCTATAATCCCAGCACATTGGGAGGATGAGGTGGGCAAATTGCCTGAGCCCAGGAGTTCAAGACCAGCTTGGGCAACATGGTGAAACTGAGTCTCTACCCAAAAAAAAAAAAAAAATTAGCCCAGCATGGTGGTGTGCACCTGTAGTCCCAGCTACTCGAGAGGCTGAAGTGGGAGGATCACCTGAGCCCTGGGAGGTCAAGGGTAAAGTGAGTCGTGACTGTGCCACTCCACTCCTTGTCTCAACAAAGAAATGAATCACTTGATCTGACATTGTCAAGAATAGTAACAGTGGCTCACACATCACCACCTAGCTAGTTGTCATCCCGCATTGAGAAGAGTCATGGTGAAATTGACACATTTTTTCCCTTGCTTAGTGAAGTAGAAAATAAGAGTGTGTCTTACAATCAATGGATCTTAGATTCAATGAAATACTGGAAATGTATTAACAACTATTATTGAAGGCAGGAAATGGTAAAGATGTGTTGTTAAAATTTGCATTATCAGATCAATGACATTAAAATTGAGAATTGCATCACTTATGAAAACATTTTTATTCATTCATTCCACAAACATAGGGGCTTTCCATGTGCAGGGCACAGTGCTGGACACTGAGGCCTGTGCCCTCCAGGCGTTGACACTGAGGCCTGTGCCCTCCAGGCGTTGACATAGGCCTGTGCCCTCCAGGCGTTGACATAGGCCTGTGCCCTCCGGGCGATGATACTGAGGCCTCTGCCCTCCAGTGCCCATCCAGGCCTTGGTCCTCCAAGCCCACCTGGACTCTGCCTTTCTTTGGGACATTGTCCTGGACTTCAGTCCATCCAGTACTTCTTTTCAGAGCTTCAGAATGGAAGCACAGGTGAAAATCACTGTATTTCACCCCTGATCATGGGAACCTAGAGTGGAATATCATTACTGCATCACAAACAAGATCACAGACAGGATAAGAAGGGGGAGAGAGGAAATTTACAATTCCTCATACATGGTTCCTTATTTACAGAGGTTGTAAGTGATTATGTAAATCACAGAGCTTCCAATAAAAACCAACTCAAGCTACAAACATGAAAGTCCAAGGCCAGTGCCAGAGCCACCTCACTTGCCCGAGTGCTGCTCTCCAGGGCTTGCTACCATCTGCTCGTGTGTCCCTTAAAGCGAGGGCAATGACAGAGACAGCACCGGCCTCTAGTCCTAGGAAGCACACATGCATTCATGTCAAGCACTGGGGGTTTAGTGGGGAGGAGGAGGGGGACACGGGATTATCTGACAGCTGAGGATCTAGAGAATCCTGGCAGAGTCTGGGTCACAGCTAGAGCCCAGTTGTGGCTGAGATCTCCAGTAGCTGAGGGGGAACTAATGTATCAAAATGGGAGGGTCCCAAACTGGCGGGCCACCATAAGGGCCTGCCTGAAAAGCCCTAGTGATTGGCCTAAATCTTCAGATGGTAGTGGGGTCACCAGGATCTCAGGGGGGCTTCTCAGCTGCTGGCAGCCCACGTCCAGGTTTCCTACCTCCCTTCTGCTCAACCTTTAGGTGCTTCTGCAACATTTACTGCAGCCCTTGCTGCCTGCTGGTGTGTGTGTGTCCTCTGCCAGGTGCCACCATTGACGTCAGATACCCCTCCCAGCCCCACAGCTAGGAACCAGGCCTCAGTCTTCTTTGTATCCCAGTGACTGGCACAGGTTGGATCCTCAGAAAGCCCCCTTTGCCTGCCTGCTCCAACAACGGCTTGAAGGCAAATACTACACCAACTGGACAGTGCCCTGTAAGAGCCAAGATGGCTGGTCCTGAGCACTGGGCCACAGCCAGCCCAGGCCCTTCTGGGACACATGTCCCACAAAGCTGCCTTTCCCAGCTCCTGACTTCGTGATCCGCCTGTCTCGGCCTCCCAAAGTGCTGGGATTACAGGCTTGAGCCACCGTGCCCGGCGGGGGCAGAAGTCAGTGAAAGTTTCCATGAAACATTTTACAACTCACCAAGGCTATTGCATTCACATCTGAGGGATGCTTGGGCTCAGCCTATTAAACAGGAGGCTGGGCCTGGCCTGGACTCCGTCCAAGGCCTCCTGCCACCACTGCCCACCCTAGGAAGCACTTTAGAATCTTCACAGTCAGTATCCAGGAAATCAACGGCTATGGCTAAGGGTGAATACCTTGGATGTCCCTTCAAAGCACTGAGTAATCACATCTCCTAACTGGAACCTTTGTCTCTGAAAATCACTCCCCTAATAGAACAAGGCAAAGCCGGCCACTCCTGCCCACCCCATCTCCCAGCCCAGGTCTTCCCCTCAGTGAGGCTCAGGTGTTTGGGACTGGCCTCTATCGCGGCCACATCCCTGCCTCCCTGCATGCCTCCCTGCGATGAGAAGCCCCGTGGGCAATCGCAGTGCCTGGGAGAACAGCCCTCCCTTGGGAAGCCATGACCATGGCCAGAATACTTCGACCTGGTCAAGAAGTGACCCCCAGCAGAGGCCGCTTGGATTTAAGGGGCACCAACTGCCCCTGTGCCCTCAGAGCCCCTTTAGGGAGCTCTCTGGGTGCTACCCACATTCTCCATCTTCACACGAGAAAAAGAACTGTCCAAGGGACTCCCCGCAAGACCTTCCTGATCACCACTGCTCCGCTGCCTGTCCCCAGGGCACCTCCTGAGGCTCAGCTCTGTACCGGTGCCCTCAAATCTGAATGCGGCAGAAGGATCACCAGTGGCGCTCCCCCGCACTGCATCCCTGAGGCCCGTGGGCGGCTCGTCGATCGGGGAGTCCCTCTCACAAACCAGGCAAGGTGGAGAAACATGACCAGCATGGCTGTCCTGGTGACACATGAGCCAGGAGGGACAGGTAAAGCTCTCGCCACACCGGCTACAAGGATAGCGCTTCTCCTGCGAGTGGCCGCACAGATGGCGCAGGAAGCCGGGCTTCTGCGCAAATCGCCTGCCGCACTGGGCGCACTGGAAGGCGCGCTCGCCCGAGTGCACCCTCTGGTGCACGGTCAGGTTGGCCAGGCGCGTGAAGCGCTTGTCGCACTGCGCACACTGGAAGGGCTTCTCGCTGATGTGTGTGTGCCGGTGCTCCAGCAGCGTGGACAGGCCGCCGGCCGCCGAAGACCTTGGCGCACTCGGCGCACTCGTAGGGCTTCTCCCCGATGTGCGTGCGGTAGTGGGTGCGAGCGTCGACTGGTGGACAAAGGTCTTACTGCATCTGGCGCCGGTGTAGGTGCGCTGGGCCACATGCGCCTGGCGGTGGCTGGCGGGGGTGGCCCAGTGCGCGAAGCTCTTGGGACACTGAGCACTAGCGAAAGGCCGTGGGGCATGATGCGCGCACTCCTGCTGTGGGCTGAGCTCCTTCCAGCCGAAGCTCTGGCCCCGCTGGGCGCAAGGTGGGCACTGCTCCATGCCCCTAGCAGCTGGCTCAGCCTGGCTTGGAGGGCCTGGAGGGAGGAAGGCCACCTCTCGCTCCCTGGGGTCAGGAAGCAGACCCCCACAGGTGCTTCCCCGAGAGCCCTCCTTGCCAGGCCCCCCTCCAGCAGCCCAGGCTGGCTTGTGTCCCTCAGACCCTCCCTCCAGACTCCTCTTTGCGGCTCAGACAGGTCTCTGCAGGGAAGGGACACAGAAGGGTACAGCGAGTGAGGCCTCCCTGCCACAGACTCTGCAGCCAGGCCACCCGCCCTTGGCTCTCCTGGAGTCTGAAGCCCGGGGCTCCAGCATCACTAAAGGCCCTGCTCTGGCCTAGCCTCCTTCAGCTCCCATTGTCCTCTGCTGGGTTCCACCCTCTGCTGTTCCACCTAAGGCTACCCCGTTCATCCACCTCTGAGCCTCGGCCCGAGGGTCCTCTCCACCCAGAACACCTCTGGCCTCCTCTTTGCCTCTCACCCAGGCTCTAAGCCCCTCTCAAGTCCCACCTCCCTCTCACGGAGCCTCCCAAGACCAGTGTGGTGACATTTTCCCCAGCAGCACCTTCATCCGGGCCGCCTGTGGCCACCAAGACACCCTTTTTACTACAGTTGAAAGAACACCTTCAGCTATTTGCACATCGTAAGCATAGGTGCTTTTAGAATACTGGCCGTCAGCCGGGCACGGTGGCTCAAGCCTGTAATCCCAGCACTTTGGGAGGCCGAGACAGGCGGATCACGAAGTCAGGAGATCGAGACCATCCTGGCGAACACGGTGAAACCCCGTCTCTACTAAAAAATACAGGTGGCGGGCGCCTGTAGTCCCAGCTACTCGGGAGGCTGAGGCAGGAGAATGGCGTGAACCCGGGAGGTGGAGCTTGCAGTGAGCTGAGATCTGGCCACTGTACTCCAGCCTGGGAGACAGAGCAAGACTCCGTGTCAAAAAAAAAAAAAAAAAAGAATACTGGCCGTCTTTTGGATCAGATCCTGAAAGGGCTCTCTGGCTGTAGACACAACGGTGCCCCTTCCCACTGCGTACTGTGTGTTCATCTTCTCTCTCCTGAGTGATCTGTGTCTCACACATTAATGAGCCCCTGCGGCGCCCAGCACCATGCTGCCTACAGACGAGTTCATGAAATGAACAGGAAGCAGGTTCAGGAATAAAAGAACGATTTCATACAACTGCATGGGAGGACACCACGCAGCAAGCACACAAGATTCTGCAGAGACACAGCCAAGGCTGCGCACTGCCTTCCCTCAGGAGCCTGGCGCAGGAGGAGGCCCTGCTAGAGGCGCTGGGAGGCCCCCCGGGGGACGCCATGTCTCCTAAGGCCCAGGGATACAGGCCTGGGGAGACACAGCCCAGCACGCCTTACCTGAGCACAGGTGTGCCACAGTGGTCTCCTGTGGGCCCTGCTGGCTCCTCCCACTTGCCCCTGCCTCTTGCTTGATCCAGGCCGGAACTCCTGGGGTGTTTCCAGCTGGCCTGCGTCTAAGGGAAAGAGGAAGAGGCCCTGAGGGCAGCAGGTATCACGGGGCATCTTTCCTCTCACAGCCTCTGTTGGGACCACGACCCCAAAGAGACTCCCAACAGAACTGTAGGTACCAGCAAAGGCACAGCACATCCTGGGGACGTGTGACATGGCAGCGAGGGGAGCTTGGCCTGTGAATGATGGGCTGTGAGCTGTGACGGGGATGACCAGCCATCTTCCAATGCTATCCACCCCGCTTCAACACTAACAGAGCACTTGGTGTCTTGCTGGGCATGTGGCCACCTAGACTCCAGACTTGTTGCCAGGCCTCCCTGTAAGGAGATGTGCCCTGTGGCTGGTCTGGCTAACGGATGTGAGGGCGCTGCCTCCTCCAGCTATGGGATCTTTGACACTGGATTCCACCTCTCTCTGCCTCCGTTTCTTCATCTATGATATGAGGAAACTGAGAGTTGGAATAAGCTTAAATGGGTCAATGTTTATAAAGTAAACATTGCACAGTAAGTACTAAATGTACAAGAAACCAAAGTGGGCCGGGCACGGTGGCTCAAGCCTGTAATCCCAGCACTTTGGGAGGCCGAGACGGGCGGATCATAAGGTCAGGAGATCGAGACCATCCTGGCTAACACGGTGAAACCCCGTCTCTACTAAAAAATACAAAAACCTAGCCGGGCGAGGTGGCAGGCGTCTGTAGTCCCAGCTACTCGGGAGGCTGAGGCAGGAGAATGGCGTGAACCCGGGAGGCGGAACTTGCAGTGAGCTGAGATCCGGCCACTGCACTCCAGTCTGGGCGACAAAGCGAGACTCTGTCTCAACAACAACAACAAAAAGAAACCAAAGTGTTTGGTTAAAGGGAAAGGCATCAACTAAAACGAAAAGGGAAACGGCACCCCCCCCCGCCCCAGCCCATCCCCTTGCTTCCTTCAACAGGGCCACGGGCATGGTTGCGGGCCATCTCGAACCACAGTAACAAGGCCTGGCCCCAGGAAAGGTGGAGCGATAGGCTGGAAGGAGCCGGGGCCTGTGAGCTGCTCTGTCGGGAGGAAGACCATCCCCAGCCACGTGGAAGCTGCGGTTTTGGTTTCATTGTTTTCTTCAGTCTCTGTTACAGCAGCCACAGATCCTACAGTGCCCTCAGGTGGGTGTCCTTCAAGGACTGGGCGACCTCACCAATCTGTGCCCACCTCTAAGGCCTACCTTAAGATCAGGGAATAGTTACTGCTCCTCTTCCTGCTCCAGGCTTGACACAGGGTAGGCACATTTTTTGTTAAATAAATGAATGAATGGAGAACATTCCAAGTCACCCATATCTAACTGCTGTCCAATCGCCCAATGCTGCCAGGTTTTATAGCCAGGGCACAGCCCACTTCTTTCTGTCATATACGAGGCACTTCTGACACAGCCACTCTGAAGACACCAGCCCAGCCCGGCTGCCACACACCAGGCTGCCTTCACAATTAACCAGGGCCCTGGAAACCGTTTCAGAGAGGAAGTTGATCAAAATGTATCAACACGAAAAGATCCTTAAGACATATTGTTGAGTGAAAACAGCAAACTGCAGAAGATATGTAGACTATATCTGTGTGTTCTTAACCCTTATATTTTTCTACAGTACACACAAGTATGTATATGCATGAGAAAATAGCCTGAAAGGTTATGCAGCAAAATCGTAACAGTGGCTACCCTGGGAGGGGCCTAGGGTTGGGCGAGCGGCCAGCAGGAGCCGCTTAGCTTTGCCCATGACCTCCACATTGCTTAGTAAGAACGTACTCGTGTAGGAATCTATTTGCATAATCAAAACACAGACACTTTCAACGGCCAGAGGTGGGTCACTTTCTGTTCAGAGGGATCTCTGAGCCTTGGTCCTCAAACTAACGACACCAGAATCACGGGAGGAAAGTGTTGAAAGTCCAGTGCCCAGACCCCGCCCAGACCTAATGAATGAGCAGCCCGTTTACACTGTTTCTAGAATTCTGGCAGGAAGAGCTCGCCTATGGAAACATCCAACAGATAAAGCAGTCATGCACCCACACCGTCTGGGGCCTGCAGGATGTCTTGCACCGACACCATCTGGGGCCTGCAGGATGTCTTGCACCCACACCGTCTGGGGCCTGCAGGATTTCTTGCACCGACACCGCCTGGGGCCTGCAGAATGTCATGCACCCACACCGCCTGGGGCCTGCAGGATGTCTTGCACCCACACCGTCTGGGGCCTGCAGGATGTCATGCACCCACACTGTCTGGGGCCTGCAGGATGTCTTGCACCCACACCGTCTGGGGCCTGCAGGATTTCTTGCACCGACACCGTCTGGGGCCTGCAGGATGTCATGCACCCACACCGCCTGGGGCCTGCAGGATGTCTTGCACCCACACCGTCTGGGGCCTGCAGGATGTCATGCACCCACACCGTCTGGGGCCTGCAGGATGTCTTGCACCCACACCGTCTGGGGCCTGCAGGATGTCATGCACCCACACCATCTGGGGCCTGCAGGATGTCATGCACCCACACCGCCTGGGGCCTGCAGGATGTCTTGCACCCACACCGTCTGGGGCCTGCAGGATTTCTTGCACCCACACCATCTGGGGCCTGCAGGATTTCTTGCACCCACACCGTCTGGGGCCTGCAGGATTTCTTGCACCCACACCGTCTGGGGCCTGCCCGCAAAGGGTTTAGAAGCAGCTTTTAGGAGTGAGGCCTAGTCCTGGGGGTAAACAAAGCTCTCTCCTGGAGAAATCTGGAAAAGCTTACGGAGAGTGGAAAACAAGAAGTGACTGCTAGAATGGCAAGGACTACCCAGACCGCAGGGCAACCCTAACCCCCCTGAACAGCCCTCATTCCTCCAGCCACCACACTTCCTTGAGCTGCCTTCAGGTGCAAGCCCAGCCTCATGGCAGAGTCGTGCCTGGGGCTCTTTGGCCAGGCCCTGCCTGCTGCTTTGCATCCCCCTAGGAGCTGCTCAGCCCTGGGGACTGTGGCACCAGCCACAGCCTCTGAACATACCCCAGTCCTGCCCACACCTGCTGTGGGGGGCCAGTCCAAGAGCCGGGGTGGCTGCAGTGCCTGGGCCCAGCTCCCCTCCCTGCACCACAGGGGAGGAGCTGTTGGCCAGGCTGCTGCTGTAATAGCCCTCAGTGCTGTAGTAGCTCTCACAAGAGCCACACTCCACCCAGCTGGCCTCTCGCTCAGGGCTCCCCAGCTCAGGCTATGTGACCTGCATCCTGCCACACCCGCCCCTTACGCAACCCTGCTTTCTCTGTGGTGCCCCCGTCCCCTGCAGGTGCCTGGAAATGCCACTTTCAGCCTTGGAACTACATGCCAGCCACTCAGTACCCTTGTCAACTCCCACCTTCTTCCCCACTCTAGGCTCACTGTGACTTAATTTACCTACTCAAAGAGTCTGCTTCACAGGGGAGCCTTCCTCCCCAAATCTAAGAATCTAGAAAGCAAGGAGCAGTGTCTTGGCATGACCCGCTGTGTTCCGAGCAACCAGCTCCAGGGTTCCTGTCCTTCAGCCAGAATAGTCCCACTGTCCCCCATGTTATATGATTCTGGTTGTCACTGGAATAAAGGGTTCTCGCCTTAAAAAAATGAAAAATAAAAAATAAAAAACTGCATTCTGATCCAATGCTATTATTTGAAAAATGGAGAAAACTGAGCTCCTATTCTGGTTCACCATTCATTTCATAATTATTTATTATTTATAATCCCAGTACATGCCAGGCACTGTGTAAGGTGCCGGGGGAGGGGGATATTACAGCAAGACTCAGTCCCTTCACCCAAGGAGAGGAAGCAGGAATTAGGCTGCAAAGCGAGGAGGACACACATGCAGGCACCAAGGGCCCTGGGAGCAGACGCAGCGTCAGGGCAGGTCTCACGGAGGCCGCCAGCCTGTCGCTCCTCCCGGGACCCTGCACGCACCACGACAGCCTGCCTCAGGTTCCCTGGTATCTGCTATGCCCTCTGCCCTTCCCCTCAAGCCTCCAGAGTGGTCTCAGGCCAAACGATGGCTCCAAAGGGACATGGAGTGTGGGAAATGGCCCAGGTCCTCTGGGTGTCAGAACACCCAGGTCTGGCCCTGACCGCCAGCTGTGAGGCCCAGCAGTTCACTTCCCCCCACCCCCACCTCTGCCTCTGTTTCGCCAGGGGGGCCTCCTGACACCAGATGCCCTTACCAGATGCACGTAGAGAGGCCCAGGTCCGCCTACACCCTAAGGGACTCACCAGGGCCCGGGCTCTGGCCCCTCTCCGCACTGGGCAGGCTGCAGCTGCCTGCCTGGTGTCCTTTCTCCACTGGCGCCAGAAGATCTGGCTTGGTGGTGGCCCGGCCTGCAGGGAGGAAAAGGCCAGCGGCAGGGCTGTCCTCTGCAGACTTGGAAAGGAGGGTTTTCCGCCAGGCTTGGAGCAGGACTTACTCCTCTTCAAGGCATGTGTTGAGGGGCATGGAGAGTAGGGTGGGCAAGGCCTCTCAGTTTTCGTGGACTAGAAGTAAGTGCCATGAGACCGAGAGAAAGGGTTCCCATCCATTGCCCACACAGACAAGCCACCTAGTCCTGACAGATGAGGAAACTCAGGCCCAAAAATGGGGCTGGCCATTCCTGGCAGTCAGGCTCAGGCTTCCTGCTGCCCTTCCTTCCACATGCTTCTCCTTCCCCGCCTAAGGCCGGACAGCCTCCTCACCCTGCCTCCCACAGCACACTGGGACCCTCTTCTGAAGGAGGAACCTCTGCAGCCAGGCAAAGGGAGGGAAGGCACTGTGTTCTGGGCCTCAGCCTCCCAACAAGGGGAGAGAGTGGACAAAAAGCCAACGGCTCACCCTGCCCAAAGCAGTGAGAATTCCAGGTGCACGCAGAAGAGCTTGGGAGTAGGGTAGCTACAAAAACCCACGTCTGATCAAGTCTCACATGAAGACACACACCTGCCTGAAGGACCGAACTTCCCAGGGCTGGCCCTCGTTTTCTGGACCTGGGGCATCCTTAAAAGCAGGCCAGGGCCTGGCGCAGTGGCTCACGCCTGTAATCCCAGCACTTTGGGAGGCCGAGACGGGCGGATCACGAGGTCAGGAGAGCGAGACCATCCTGGCTAACACGGTGAAACCCCGTCTCTACTAAAAATACAAAAAGTTAGCTGGGCGTGGCGGCGGGCACCTGTAGTCCCAGCTACTTGGGAGGCTGAGGCAGGAGAATGGCGTGAACCCGGGAGGCGGAGCTTGCAGTAAGCCAAGATCTCGCCACTGCACTCCAGCCTGGGCGACTGAGCGAGACTCTGCCTCAAAAAAGAAAAAAAAGAAGCAGACCTGGCTGAGCACAGTGGCTCACGCAGCATGTTGGGAGGCCGAGGCGGGCGGAACACCTGAGGTTGGGAGTTCACGGCCAGCCTGACCAACATAGATAAACCCCATCTCCACTAAAAATACAAAATGAGCTGGGCCTAGTGGTACATGCCTGTAATCCCAGCTACTCAGGAGGCTGAGGCAGAAGAATCACTTGAACCTGGGAGGCGGAGGTTGTGGTGAGCTGAGATCACACCATTGCACTACAGCCTGAGCAACAAGAGCGAAACTCCATCTCAAAAAAAAAAAAAAAAAAAACAGGCCTACAGTCCATCCGTCTTTGCTCAGCAGGAATCACCTGAGAACTCAGTGTGCAGAGTGCAGCTTGGGAGTCCTAGGGATGCAGATGTAAACCAGGGGAGGCCCCAGCTCCCCAGGAGCAGACAGGCTGGCAAGCCACAGGCGTGCACGCAGGAGCTGCCTCTGGCACCACATAAAGGGCAGGACAGCAAGGAGCAGATTCCAGTTCACTTACTCCATGAGACCTGGGGCAAGTCATATAACCTCTGCATTTCATTACATAAAACCGCAAAATGAGAATGACGGATACCCTCTACCTGCCTGAAGATAGAGGGCTGAACAAATGATCTCTACATGCTTCCTGCTCTGAGATTCAGAAGTCTCGTGTGATTGAGTAAAGGAGTAAAACCAAGGTGTGGAGGCCCCCAGAGACCAGCCTCTTACCCAGGGAGCTCAGGGTCTCGCAGCTCCCCTTCACAACACGTTTGTAGAGCTCCTTCTGTGAGTCCTCCAGGCCGCCACCCTGCTGCTCTGAGAAATACCCGACCGTGTCTTCAGGAGTCATGGGCACCTGGAAGTACAGGTTGCCTGCACCCACCATGAGGAACAACCATTTCAGGGAGCAGCCAAAACCAACTCCAGTCTCCTCTCCCTTCCCCCGAAGCAGTGGGCATCGCAGGCCAAACTACTAAGCAAATGCAAACTCAACTCCATCACAACGCCTTCGGCTAAAGGGCAGAACCAGTGACTAAGGGGATTCATGATCAGGGCTCCTGGGTTCTCTTCCCCTCTCCCAGGCACACGTATCTCCTACTTGTGCCAGTCCTCACTCTCAGAGATCATGTACAACCACTGCTGCACAACCATTTCTCTCCCAACAAACCCCATTCCATCCTCCAAAGCAGACATTTTTCTGTGTCACAATTTCTTCTGACATTTTTCAAGCCCTTTAAAGTCAACTAGTGACTGCCTTGGATGCCCAGAGGTCAGGCTTTGGGAGCCAGGGGGCTCCTTCCGCTATGCATATGGTAACCCTACAGAATCCAGGCAGGGCCTCTCCACCCACACCCAGCTCCTATACCTTGGGGGCCTCCCCCTTGCTGCCTGGGGGCAGCCACAGGATCCAGAAGTTTCTGTTGCACAGCACGTTCTCCAGCTGCCTCTGCAGCAGCCCGTACTCCTGCAGCAGAGTCCCCAACATGGCCCACTTGCCCTCCAGCCTGAGCGACAGTTTGGTTCCCAAACTTCACAGCCACCTTCTCGCAGTCAGCCAGCTTCTCCTCGGCTGTCCGTGTGCGTCCCTCCAGGCTCTGTAGCCAGGCAGCCTGGGGTTCCATCTTCTTCTCCACCACCTGAACAGCAGCCACGATAGCCAGAAGGGAGACCTCTGCAGATCGGATCTGGGCTTCTCCCTGGAGGTCAGTCTGCATATACCAGTCCTGCAACCAGACACAAGTTCATGAGTCAGCCACCAGGAGAGCAGCCCAGAGCCATTACCAGACACAGGAAGGTCAGGATTCTCCAGAATGGGGAAGACGTCTTCTGAATGCCAGAGGGCCTCACTGGTCAGACCCCCAAACAGACCCCACCTAATAGTCAAAGACAGCAGACACTGGGCCCCACAAAGCCCCCATGAGAAGAATCCTGAACCAAGACCCAGGGGCAATGGAAAATGACATAACCAACATTACTATCATAAATGAATAGAGTGGATCCCAGCTCTACCACTCACTGCCTCTATTAGCTCAGCCCATTACTCAACCAACTAGGGAACATGGCCAGAAGCAGGAACCAAGAAATGGTGAGAAGCCCAAGTCCAGAACACCTTCCAGGGGACCCGGGGTCCAATGCACACCCAGGCAGCAATCTGAGTCCTCAACTTCTTCTAGAACAAGTCCACACCCCTTAGTGGGCTCACGGGGAGAAAGGCCTGTTGTTCCGCCTTGGCGATCTCTAAGGCCCATCCACCCTGACATCTACTGGTGTGACTTCCTGCCCTGCCTGACACCACATCCCCATGATCCAGGTGCCTTGTCAACCAGCCCCAGGATGGTCTCCACCCTCCTAGCTGCCAGGCAACAGGGGCCAGAGAAAGTTGAAAGCAGAAAAGAAAAGAACAAGGAAACATTACAAGGAATATCCTGTTCACAGGAGGCAGAAAATGTATTATGTATTGCTGCAAATAAAATTTTAAATCCAGGAATGCCCCAGTGGGGAACAGCTGAGGTATAAAGGGAGCACTCCTGGAAATGGAACTCACCTAGAACTTGACTCGGTGCCTCTCCTGCCATCTGAATCCTGCACAACCTGAAGTCAAGCCGCATAACTTATCTAAGGTTCTATGTTCTCACTTACAGGGATATCCTAACTTCCTTCACTCCTAAGGTGGCTGTGTGGATGAAACACACTGAAGATATGAAAAAGCACTCAGGGTGTATGACATTAGCACATGTTATATTCTTTTTTTTTTTTTTTTTTTGAGACGGAGTCTTGCTCTGTTGCCCAGGCTGGAGTGCAGTGGCCGGATCTCAGCTCACTGCAAGCTCCGCCTCCCGAGTTTAGGCCATTCTCCTGCCTCAGCCTCCCGAGTAGCTGGGACTACAGGCGCCCGCCCCCTCGCCTGGCTAATATTTTGTATTTTTTAGTAGAGACGGGGTTTCACCGTGTTAGCCAGGATGATCTCGATCTCCTGACCTCGTGATCCGCCCGTCTTGGCCTCCCAAAGTGCTGGGATTACAGGCTTGAGCCACCGCGCCCGGCCTATGTTATATTCTTAAAAACAAATATAAAGGCTATGGACCAGTGATCTGAATGTGTTAAGAACCAGAGACTGATTAATCTAATTCTGTACAACTGAGTTTCTCAGAGACCTCCCCAATAAACATACTCAGCAAAGTGTCCCACACATACAAGTACCAGACACCAGATACCTGGCCTTTTCCTTCCTCTCACACCATGGGTCTCCATCCTCAAGTCTGGCCTCTGTCTGATACAATGAAGTGGAGCCCAGAGGAGGCAGAACCGTCTTCAAATTAGGGGCTAACATCCTCACCTCCCTGCAATGCCCTGCCACAAATGTGCCACCCAGGAATGGATCCAAAACCACTGCAAAGCTATTTATACTAGGAGATGACCCCTCTACCTTTAAAGACCTATGAAAATCTCAACAGTTCTTATGCAGGCCAGCAATGGCCTAGGTCAAGCCTGAGCCTGAAGCCCCTAACCAAAAGTCCTCACAATGCAGATCCCCTCAGCAGCAGCCAGAAGGACTTGTCAGGGAATTTTGGAAAGAGTGGGCAGGCATCAGAATCCTCCAGACTGGAATCAGAGCTCAAGTCTAGAGTCCACCTCACAGTCAGGAGCCAGACTCTGGCTCCACCAGACTGCAGCGGACATCCCTCCCCAGGCCATGGCATTGGTCTCAGCTTGGCAGGAGGGGTGGATCTTTGAGATGGTCGACTGCGGGGTGGGGCGGGGTGGGGGCAAGTGCCAAAAGGCGGATCCTGAAACAGGAACCTTGGAGGGTCTGGAATGAAGATGTCCACAGTCCACCGCGCCCTCAGAGCCAGGTCCAGTGGATATCAGGGCAGGAGGGACCTCCAAATCTTGTGTTTAGGGCCATTCGCCTTATTCCACAGGCAAGGAAATGAAGAGCGAGAAGGGAGTTTATCGTGTGGCCTTAGGAGTCCTTGTCCTCCTCCTGCCACCCGGGCTAAGCCCTCCCCAGTTCCAGGAGGTGGCGGGGGATGGTGGAGGGTGGGACATCCTCCTGGCGAATTCAGGACTCGGCTCCACGTCCCCACGCCTCCATGACAGTCGCCCCTACCGAAAGCGCAGCCGCCTCGGCCATGGCCCTGTGCTGGCCTGCCTGGACAGGGAGTCGCCGCTGCCCTTGCGCGCGGCCCCACACAAGCCCGGCTGCACAGTTCTCTCCGCAGACGGCGTCAGCCCCGCTTTCCCCGCACGGACCGAGCTCGCGGGGCCGCCGGGACTCGAGACACACGGAGAACGCGTCCGGGAAGAAGCTGTGCCCCAGGCCCAGCGAATTGCGACCGGGTGGGCCCCGCGTGGGCCCCGTCCCGCATCCGGAAGCCAGATCCCCGTTGGCCGGTGCTGGAGGCTCCGCCCCCGCTTCGCGGGCGCCTGCGACCCAGTGCCGGCTTTTCATTGGCCAGCCCGGGAGGCCCCGCCCCCACAGCGAGCTCGGAGGTATTGTGCGAGCCCCACAGGTGCGCGCGCCCGCCGACAGGTGTGAGCGCTCGCCCCAGGCTGGTGCCCAACAGCCCACAAGTGTCGCCAGCTGCCACTGCCCCGCACGGTCACTCACTTCCCAGAGAGCAGAAACCAGATCACGCGCACGCACTCGTTCATGTCAACAAGTTTATTGCGCACCAATTAGGGAAAGGGACTACCACCTTCACAGTTTTCTTGGGCTTATTAACGTCGTGGCCCACCCGTTTATTTCACAAATGAGGAAGACGAGGACTCTGCTGGGGGAGTTTGGGGCCCAACCAGGGCTCCCACCGAGTCTGGGGAACCCTCAGCTCCTGCACCACAAAGCTTCGGTTGACTCGTTTCAATGTAAAGAACATTACTTAAACACGTCCGAGTGCTAGGCAAATTCACAAGACCTAGCTCAAAGTTGCACACATTGCTATGAAAAAAAGAAAAAAGGAGAATCAGCACCTTGTGCCACTTACGCAGGGGCATTTGGCATTAGAAAAACAAGCCCAGAAACTCGGCAAAATTCTTAGCCTGAGGTATCCCCAGAACATCTGACACTAGCTCCTGCAGCTGAGGGTTAAACTCACGCACCTGCACTTGCACACATCCTGTCTGAGCTCTTGCTGACAGCCTGTCTCTGATTTGTGAAGCTCCTGGCAAGGGTTGGGGGACCCCAAAGCAAACAAGCAGGATCCACAGCACAGAAGGGCGGTGCCTCTTCCCAAACCCAAGGGAGGCTGGCCGAACTGTCACCGACTTGTATATTCACCCTCCTCCCAGAGATGACAGCAACGCTACCACTGGCCCCCAACTCTGCTTAGAAGAAGTGGGAGGGTCAGAAGGGCAAAGAAATGGCACATCCAGGAACCAAGGCCCCCAGAAGCAGCCCTGAAGGGTGGCCACTTCTCAGTGCCAGACAAGGCGGTAAAAAACAAGGTTAGCCGGGGTCCCATCACTCCAGCTTCAGAGTCACCCACACCAGGGCTGCTCTACAGGCAGCACCCGCAGTGGTGTGATGGGACACCAGAAGCCAGCTGACCTCCAGACTTCTCCATGAGGCCTGATATTATTGCCTGAACTTCTACAGTCTGAATCTCATGTTTTGGTAGGAATTTGTTCACCGAAACACAAAGGACCCCTGGGGAACAAAGCCCCGTGGGCGAGTCTTTCACTGAACCCAGTGGAACTGCCACTACTCACTCCAGAAGATAAAGGTCCTTCCTGAGGGATTCTGACAGGGGAAAAAAAAGGCTGGAATGAGTAGAAAGGAGGCCCTGAACTTGAAAGGAAGCACAAAGCTAGGCTTCATATTTGTCCCAGTGCCTCTTAATTTGATCCTGACAACTCTGAGGTAGGACACACTGGGGCGATGACCCCCTTTGACAGAAGAGGAACATGAGACTAGCCGTGACTGAAGGATTCACCCAGATCTCCTAGCCCAACTCTGCCCCAGAGCCCAAAGCGCTCAAGGGAGAACTCCTTTGAGAGACTGCCTCCCCTTTAATGTGAAAAGCAGTCCTGGAGGCCCAGGGTAGAGGTGGCCCTCAGCCAGACCAAGGGCCTCCTCTAGGGGAGGGGCTTCCTGGGCTCTCTCCGCACTGCCCCTCAGGATGCTGTCTGGGGTCCAGTCAATGGATCTTACACACCCACGAACACTGAGCTCTTGGGGAGAAGTGTCTCCCACTCCAGGCTTCAGTTTCCCCTCCCAGCTGACAAACAAAAGTAAATAATGGACGTGCCTATCCTGTGGGGTAAGGACTAGGAATACTGGGAGTCACTCTGAGCCAAGAAACACACACCTAGGGAGACACTGTGCTTCCGAGACAGCAGCCAAGACATCCCCGTCAAAACCCACAGGCTGGGCAGGAGCAGTGGCTCACGCCTGTAATCCCAGCACTTCAGGAGGCTGAGGCAGGCGAGTCACCTGAGGTCAGGGGTTCGAGACCAGTCTGGATAACATGATGAAACCCTGTCTCTACTAAAAATACAAAAATTAGCCAGGAGTGGTGGCTCACCTCTATAATCCCAGCTACTCAGAAGGCTGAAACAGGAGAATCACTTGAACCCGAGAGGCAGAGGTTGCAGTGAGCAACCTCTGGAGATTGCACCACTGCACTCCAGCCTGGGCAACAAGAGCGAAACTCCATCTTAAAAAAATAAAAGACCCACAGGCTGGTGGAGGTAGTTCCCCTTCCAGTTCTGCGAGCCCCACATGGAAAAGCCGGCTCTTTCCACTTTGCAAAAGGCGAAGTTCTATTAGCAACTACACACATTTACAAAAGCACTTGAGTCTCTATAACAAGGGAAAAAAAGTTTCAAAATAGCAAAGTAGAAAACTTTCCAGGACCCTTTCTTCAGGCCAACCATCCACTCCCCTGTCTCATGGTGACAGCAGGCCGGAGACCTCTGCACAAAACAAAAATCCCAGGTCCCCGATGTCTCTATCGCCCCCATACTGGAAGGGCCATGATCTCTGGTCCTCTTGGCTGTGGTACCTACCAGAGGCCCCATCAAAAATAAGGCATCCCTTAAGCCTTAAGGAATCTTTTACAAGTCAGGAATGCAGAAAAGGCAGCAAAGAGTGCAAACAGGAAACAGAAGGCACCCAGTCACACACACTGCCACCAGAAGGGCGGCGGGCTTCCCATTTGAATGAGTAAAAACAACAAACCTCTCTCCATTCCAGAAAGAGGAGGAACCCGCGTCAGGCACAGGGGAGAGGCCCTGCCAGGAGTCCCCTGTGGCCTACTGCCTGGTCAGCCCTCTTCCGTGCGGCTGGGCCAGGGCAGCGGGGGGCTCCCGTGGCGGGCAGGGGCGGCAGGCAAGTGTGGGCCCGCCTGGCCTCGGGCGTGGGTCTGCATGTGCACAGCCAGGTGGTGGTTCCGGTTGAAGGTCCGGCCACACTGGGGGCACTGGTAAGGACGCTCACCAGTGTGGATGCGCTGGTGCCGGAAGAGGTCCGAGGGCCGGCGGAAGGCCTTGCCGCAGTAGGGGCAGGCGGGCCAGCCCTGGCCATTGCCGGTGTGCAGGCGCTGGTGCAGCAGCAGGCTCTTGCGCTGCTGGAAGAAGCGCAGGCACTCGCTGCAGTGGTACATCTTGCTGGCCGCAGGCCGCCGCCCCACCAACGCACGGCCGCCCGCCACAGAGCGGCGGCCCTCAGGCTCCTCGGGGAGCCAGCGGATGACAGGGCCAGGCACCACCACCTCCCCCGGCTCCAGCGTGGTCTGGCTGTCCCCGGGGGCCTCCCGCCGCCCCTCCTCCACGTGGGTCCGCTGATGAATCGTCAGGTTGATCTTCAGGCGGAAGCTCTGCCCACATTCGGGGCAGGTGAATGCCCGCTGCCGCCGGCGGGAAAGGACTCGGGGCGTCTCCCCGCCGACCCCCGGTGGCCGTGGCTCCCCTGCCCGCACCCTGGGCACGCCCTGGGCCTGATGACGGCTGGAGCCCCCAGGCCTGTTCCTGGGCCCTCGGGGGATTCTGCATTCGGTCTGGCCTCGGGACACCCCCAGATAAAGCCGCTCAGGCCTCATCTCGTCTTCAGACTGTGCCTCTGTCTTGATGACCACACCACCACCTGGCAAAAGGAGTCTACGTTGGTTTCTAAGTGGACCTCACCACCCTGTCCCCCAGGTCACTCGGCCCAGTCCTGGCTTCCAGCCTCAGCTGGGCCCTCTCTCCCCACAGTGCTCACAGCACATTGCAGGGGTCCTGCTCACTGAGCCCGGCCACACAGGCACTGCCTCGCACGGTCACTCAGTCCTGATTGTTGTCATCAGCATCATTCCTGGAGGCCAAGCTAAGGACATCAGGGGAGGGGAGATCAAGCTGCAAGGCCAGGAGCCAGGGAGCCCGGAGGTCAGGGGTCACCTGGAGTGGGACACAGAAGCAGAGACCCTTGGCACAGCAGAGAGGGTGGCAGGACCCCACCCCCAAGAGTTCTGGTGACACTAGTTACCATCTGTGAAAGACAATGAGCCCCAGGGGCCCTCGCTGCCCCCAGACCACCCTAAGAGGCCTCTGCGGACTAGGGGTGGTGAGTGCTGCACCCATGCTCAGCTGCTCATCCACATGACAAATCCGCACAGAGCGTCCATGACCTGCCTGCCACTACACTCACTGGTGACAGGAGGTGCTAGGACCTGAGATTCTTGCCTGGGTCTGTGTGAGTCTCACTCAACTCCCAGGTTGGGTGGAGCCAAGGAGCTGCTGGACAGCAGTGACAAGGACAACCAAGGCAGTGGCAGGTGGTCACAGCAATGTGCTGGAGACCTGAGACCCCAGGTCTCAGCACCCAGCTCTCAGGGGTCCCTAATGTGAGGGAGGAAGGGTCCTAGCACCATACCCTCTCAGGGAAGCAGAGTCTCTGGGCAGAGGAACACAGACTGTTGACATGGGGGCTGGGAGCCCAGCCACGCCAAGACCACATGAATAGCTTTTCCATCATCATCAGACCACATGCCTGGGATCTGATGCCTGGGTTTTCATGCAGTGCCTTTCCAGCCAGGCCAGACCAGACCACAATGGGGAAAGACCAGGAAGGACCCCAGACTGATCTGGGTCCCCACAGTCCCCAGGGAGATAGCAGCTGGAGAGGGAGGGACAGAACCCTCAGGAGGAAGCCCGTCACCACGTCCCACCACCCAACCCCACCCCACTCCCAAAAGGCCCCCACGCTCCTGTGGGGCTCTGCTGTGGCCACAGGTGCCTCTGCCCTTCTTCCCCTGGCCCCATGCCTGGCAGGATGTCCCTGGTGGAGGAAGTTGGAGACTCCCCATCTAGACTCTCCTTTCGACTTAATCAAGGATAAAATGCTGGTGCTGGCTGGGGGCCATGTGAGACTCGGCAAGGGCCTCTCCCAACACCGGCTGCAGGACACCCATGGCTTGCAGCGTGCATAGCCATCTCCCCAGCAGCCCTGGACATACGCAAGTCCCTGCCAGGGAGAGGAGGCCTAGGGCTTCTGTCCGGAGGGCTTCAGAGGTGAGACAAGAGCTACGAAGGCCACATCCCCAACACCCCTGCGGGCCAGTGCTAATGACCTGTCCCTCAGCATCTGTCACCCTGATGAGCCTCAAAAGAACAGAGGGTTGGGAGGCTCCGGGACACCGTTCCAGGTCTGCAATGGGGCAGGAACACTGCCCTCCTGCCTAAGAGGGTCCCATCTCTCCAACTCCATGAGCACAGCCCAGACTTACACACTGGCTGGAAAGAGAAACCCAGGGAATGGAGGAAGATCCAGTGGGGAAGAAATCAGAAATCACCACAGAGAAAGCAACCAGAGACTGAAAGTCGGGCCAGCGGCAGAACCAGGTGGAGGAGCCAGCCCCGCAGAGGAACACTCGACAGAGAACAGAGCTCTGGACTGTTTGCCAAGTGTTCTGCTAATGGCCTGATACATCTTTTTGTGAAAGGACAGGCAGGGACTGCCTTTAAATAAAAGCAGACAAAGAGGTCTGGAAGCATGGCTAAAGCCAGAGTTCCCAGCAGGTCTTCAGAAAGGGCGTTTACTGAGAAACACCACGCTGGCGCCGCGCTAGGCACAGGACACACACTGCCCTGTGGATGGGACCCTCGTAAGAACCCTGGGGAGGCACAACACACCCATCTACCCCTCCCCTCACTCTGCTGGACCCCTGTGCCCAGGCCCCCAACACGTGGAGGAACCCACCCATCTATACACTGTTTTCTCATGCTGAAAATGCCAAAACCTACCTTCTTTCAAGCCCTGTCTCAGGGGCCCCTTTCCCAGAAAGCCTGTCCAACCCAGCCCAACCAGTCTCCCAGCCATCTCTCCCAGCCCCACGCTTCCAGTGCTTTTCCTCAGCACCGTCGCTTGGTAACCGCCTGCTGCCTCGGGACACTGTTCATCCTGCCGCCTCGCTGTTCTCACTCACCTGCTCCTGGCCCGACTGGGGCCACTCTCACCTCTGAGTCCTGCTGCTGCTTGGGGGCCTGCCCTTCTTTCAGCTCCTCCTGGGCAGGGCTGAGTGGGCTGGTGAGGTGCTCTGGATATGGAGGGAGGCCTGGAGAATGCAAATCAGTGACACTGAGCACAACACAGAGGTCTCCTGCCCAAATGACCAGGGACCCTCTGGGGAAAGGCAGAGTCACTGGGATCCTGGGGCCTCAGCTGCAGCACAGGGCATGACAGTGAGGTGGACGCCACCGAATACCTGGCAGCTAGATTCCAGTCTAAAGCCTCTTGTCCCAGAGAAGGAAACTGCAGCACAGGAATTCAGCAGACAGGAATTCATGGTAATGATCACCAGGCAGGTCATGACAGACTCTGGCATTTTAAGGCAGGAAAGAGAAACACCATGCCTGTCCCAGCAGCCAATGGGGTGGCCACCACCTCCCGCGCTCGGGCCTCCTCCTCCTCCTCCAAGCTGCTCTTATGACATAAGGGACCCAAGGCAGGGCAGAAACACAACTGAAGACATGGCGTTAGGAGCATCAAGGTTTCCCCCTCAGAAGTTTTCTTTCAAAATAACTCCATCCCTACACCTACTTCTTAGAACTGAGTCCATTCATGTTTAATCAGCGCCCACCTCCCAGAGTGATCGTAACCAACCCAGCTGTCAGCAAGACTTTCAAACGGTAAAGCCTCAAAATGAGCATGTGTCCTCTCACACAAGAAATGAAACTCTGATTTTTTTTTTCTTTTTTGAGGCGGAGTCTCACTCTGTCACCCAGGCTGGAGTGCAGTGGCGTGATCTCGGCTCACTGCAAGCTCTGCCTCCCGGGTTCAAGCAATTCTCTGCCTCAGCCTCCCGAGTAGCAGGGATTACAGACGCCCGCCACCATGCCTGGCTAATTTTTGTATTTTTTTAGTAGAGACGGGGTTCCACCATGTTGGCCAGGCTGGTCTTGAACTCCTGACCTCGTGATCCACCCTCTCGGCCTCCCAAAGTGCTGGGATTACAGGAGTGAGCTACTGCGCCCAGCTGAAGCTCTGATTTTTTAAGCAAAAAAAGATGATGAGAAAAAAACTATGATGAGCAAAAGGCTGACAGTAAGAGCTGACAGAATGCTACCAATCAGAGATGAAATCAGCAAATGGCTCACATCGTTTGTCCACTTGATGCTAAGAGGAATTTGAAATTGGATGGGCATCAGATCAGAAGGGAAGAGACAACAAACCCAGAATTATGGGAAAAGTAGGAAAACCTCCAAACCTGAGTTTGAATTTACCACGTTGGATCTTCCTAAACTTAAAACTCCAGAGAACAATGCCTTGTCAAGAGATAAAAGAACAACCAAAAGTGTGGTGGTGCATGACTGTAGTCCCTGCTAGTTGGGAGGCTGAGGCAGGAGGATGGCTTGAGTCCACAAGTATGAGGCTGCAGTGAGCCATGACTGTGCCACTTGCATTCCAACCTGGGCTACGGGGCCAGACCCAGTCTCAAATTAATTAATTAATTAATTAATTAATTAATTTTAAAAAAGTAACCCAAGTGGGGTCCTGTCCACTCTACCTCAACTGAGGTTCTCTTCTAAGAGAAGAGGTAAAACCAGCCAGAAGGTTATCAAAGGGTGAAATACTGGTGAAAAATAATAATCCAGTGGAGTCTGTGCCTGCTAACACTGCTACCAATTCCCCTTTATGTATGGGAGAGTTATAAACCAACGGGTTTTACTGCCCCTAAAAATGTTATTTTCATGACAAGCCTAAAGACGGTTGCTTCCTCAGCAGATCCTGAAAATTTCAGTGGATCATCCTCTGAAGTTTGATCTTTGGATCCTTCCTACAACAAAGAGAAACACATCATCCATCCTACTAAACAGCCCCAAGCATCACAAGGTGGTGACTGAGCAAGATGAAGCCTCAAAAAAGAATGAGAAACAGAACGGTCTAAGTGAAAATAATGAATCCTGACTGTTCATGAGCCACTAATAATTGAAAATAAGGCTGGGCACAGTGGCTCACGCCTGTAATCCCAACACTCTGGGAGGCCAAGGTGGAAGAATTACTTGAGCTCAGGAGCTTGAGACCAGTATAGGCAACATGGTGAAACCCTGCCTCTACAAAAAAATACAAAAATTAGCTGGGTGTGGTGGCATGTGCCTGTAGTTCCAGCTACTCAGGGGGCTGAGGTGGGAGGATCACTTGAGCCCAGGAAGTTGAGTCTGCAGTAAGCTATGACTGCACCACTCCAGACTGAGCGACAGAGCAAGACTGTGCCAAAAAAAAAAAAAAAAAAAGTTAAGAATAATTTTTAAATATTGGAAAGAAGAGCCAGATTCTGCTGCAGTTGGATTTGGGGGACAGCACTGGCAAAGGAGCAGCACCCCCAGGATCGAGCAGCCTACAAGCCAGCGGTGCTCCTAGTTGGGGCAGTCGCAGGCCTCTCCAAAAATGCCACTTCCATCAGTTCCATCAGTTCCATCAGGTGAAGACCCACGCAGCCCCTTGGCCTCCAGTGCCCCCAGATGAATAAAGGGAAGCACAGGTCAAGAAGGCAACCTCATTGGAGATCATTTTGAATGGCAGGACAGGGCCAGGCGCGGTGGCTCACGCCTGCAATCCCAGCACTTTGAGAGGCCAAGGCTGATGGATCACGAGGTCAGGAGATCGAGACCATCCTGGCTAACACAGTCAAACCCTGTCTCTACTAAAAATACAAAAAATTGGCCAGGCAGTGTTGTGGTGGGCGCCTGTAGTCTCAGCTACTAGAGAGGCTGAGGCAGGGAGAATGGCATGAACCTGGGAGATGGAGCTTGCAGTGAGCTGAGATAGCGCCACTGCACTTCAGCCCGGGTGACAAAGCAAGACTGTCTCAAAAAAAAAAAAAAAGAAAGAAAGAAAGAAAGAAAGAACAGCAGGAGAGACAGCAGCACCGTCTCCCAGAAAATGCCATGAGCTCAGCTGTTACAAGTGACGACACACAAGAGTATGCCACTCAGAATAAAAAATAAATAAATAATAAATTTTACAGTTTATCTGTAAAATGGGAATTTAAAAAAAAAAAAAAAAAAGAAGAGTAGACCGTGGTGGTGGCAACCAGTGCCCCAAGTAGGCAGGTATCAGCTACAGAGGGATGAAAGAACTGGACTCCCAGAAACAGGCCGGGCACGGTGGCTCATGCCTGTAATCCCAGCACTTTGGGAGGCTGAGGTGGGTGGATCACTTGAGGTCAGGAATTCAAAACCAGCCTGACCAACATGGCAAAACCCCGTCTCTACTAAAAATACAAAAAAAATTAGCCAGGCATGGTGGCACGCACCTGTAATCCCAGCTACTTGGGAGGCTGAGGCAGAAGAATCACTTGAACCCGGGAGGTGGAGGTTGCAGTGAGCCAAGATCGAGCCATTGCACTCCAGCCTGGGCAACAAGAGAGAAACTCTGACTCCAGGAACAAAAAAAAAAAAAAAAACTGGACTCACAGAAACAATACATGCCAAAGTTCCCAGGTTTCAGCTTTATAATCTGCAAATCTTTTACTTCTTTTTAAAGTGGACATATTCTGAATACAGGTTTCATTATGGAGGCTAAGAGAACAAATGTTTAGTTTCATATTTTCTCTGTAAGTAAAAGAGCTGATATATTTTGAATATAGAGTGATTTTAAAAAGGGGTGGGGGAAGCTGGGGACAGTGGCTAAAGCCTGTAATCCCAGCACTTTGGGAGGCCAAGGCAGGCGGGTCACCTGGGGTCAGGAGTTCAACTAGCCTGGTCAACATGATGAAACCCCATCTCTACTAAAAATACAAAAATTAACTGGGCATGGTGGTGCATGCCTGTAATCCCAACTACTCAGGAGACTGAGACAGTAGAATCGCTTGAACCTGTGAGGTGGAGGTTGCAGTGAGCTGAGATTGTGCCACTACACTCCAGCCTAGGCAACAGAGTGAGACTCAGTCACACACACACACACATATCTCACTCTTTAGGGACTCCTGGCTCAGAACACTACAATGGGGGCTCCCAAACCCAAATCCTGTACTAGGCTAGTATAGCAGCATCCCCTGGGGAGCACCCCTGGGAGTCTCATCAGTAGGTTTGGGGTAGGCCTAGGAAATATGCATTTTTTAAAAGATTCCTAGAGCAAGAAACATAAATAATTCACAGAATAAGAAATTTAAATGGCCCTTAAACATATAAAAAATAGGGCCAGGTGCAGTGGTTCATGCCTGTAATCTTGCCACTTTGGGAGGCCAAGGCAGGAGGATTGTTTGAGGTCAGGAGTTTGAGACCAGCCTGGGCAACACAGTAAGACCCTGTCTCTACAAAAATTTTAAAACCTGCCAGGCATAGTGGCACATGCCTGTAGTCCTAGCTACTCAGGAGGCTGAGGTGGGAAGACACTTGAGCCTAGGAGTTCAAGGCTGCAGTGAGCCATGATTATATGACTGCACTCCAGACTGGATGACAGAGTAACATCTTGCCTCAAAAAAAAAAAAAAAAAAAAGGGAGGCGGGGGAACAAGATGGTCGAAAACAACCCTCCAGCGATTATCTCCCCACAGAAACACCAAATTCACTACTATTCACACAAGAAAGCACCTTCAAAAACACCAAAATCCAGATGAGCAGTCACGGTACCTAGCTGTACCATCATATGGAGGAAAGCAGCACTGAAGAGGGCGGGAAAGATAGTCTTGAATTGCTGATACCGACCCTCCTCCACACCCCCGCAGCAGCCATGCAGCTCGCGAGAGAGAATGTGTGTGCTTGGGGGAAGGAGAGTGCAGTGATTGTAGGACTTTGCATCGGAACTCAGTGCTGCCCTGTCACAGCAGAAAGCAACACCAGGCAGAACCTAGCTGGCACCCACCCACAGAGGGGGCATTTAGAACAGCCCTAGCCACGACAGGCATGGTGGCTCATGCCTATAATCCCAGCACTTTGGGAGGCTGAGGCAGATGGATCAACTTGAGGCCAGGAGTTTGAGACTGGCCTGGCCAACATGGCGAAACCTCATCTCTACTGAAAGTACAAAAATTAGCCGGGTGCGGTGGCAAGCACCTGCAATCCCAGTTACTAGGGAGACTGAGGCGGGAGAATCACTTGAGCCCGCAAAGCAG